AAGATTGATAAAATTTTCACTATCACGATTGATAATTCAAGTTCTAATGATGTGACCATTTCTTATATTAAGAAGAGACTCACAAGTTAGAAAAGTCTTATCTTAGATGTAGAATTATTACACGTGAGGTGTTGTGCTCACATCATAAACTTGATTGTAAATGATGGCCTGAAAGATATGCATGACTCCATTTGTAATGTTCGTAATGCAGTAAGGTATGTTAGATTATCTCCCAAGAGAATTGTTAAGATTTAAAGATTGCGTAGAAAAGGAAAAAAACGAGTCTAAAGCTCTTGTTTGTTTAGATGTAGCCACTCGATGGAATTCTACTTATTTGATGCTTGAACATGCTTTGAAATTTGATAAAGGTTTTCAAAAATTAGAAAGAAGAGTTAGATTTTTCTTACTTCAAAGCAGATGAACCAGGGAAACAAAAAATTAGGGGCCACCAACTTCTGATGATTGGAAAAATGTGAATATGTTTGTAAAGTTTTTGAAGGTATTTTATGAAGTCACTACAAAGATAAGTGATTCTCTATATGTGACTTCTAATTCTTACTTTCATAAACTTCATGGTATTCAAGAGCTTTTATTGACTTGGAGTCTAAATGAAGATTCTATTTTATGTTCAATGGCTTTAGCTATGAAGAAAAAGTTTGACAATTGGGGTTCAATTGAGAAAATGAATAAGTTGATATTTATTGTTGTGGTGTTTGATCCTTGTTACAAATTGGATTATGTAGGACTTTATTTTTCGAATTTCTATGAAGATGCTATAGCTAAAGAGATGCTTGATAGTATCAAGACGTATTTGGTTCGTATGCACGATTTCTACAAAATCACATGACAATACACGTAGTTTTGATACTGAAAGTTGTAGTATCGAGTCTTCCCAATCAAATGTTACCATAGATATGTAAATTGGTGGAAACGTTCAAGCGAGTAGTCTTGTAATATCAAGATACAAGAAGAGAAGATAAGATAAGATAAGAGAAGACTTCTTTGGAATTGAAGAATGATGTAGATTGATATTTAAGTGACCCTAGTGAGGAGCTTAATGATAGTTTTGATGTTTTGGTTTGGTGGAAACTTCATGGCTATAAATATCGAGTTTTATAAAACATTGTGCAAGATGTTTTGGTAGTTCCAGCGTCTATGGTTGCTTCTGAATCAACCTTCAGTACAGGGGAGAGGATTCTTGATTCTTTTAGAAGTTCTTTAACTCCTAAAAGCTTTGATATGCACACAAAATTGGATTCATGACAAATAAGTGTTATTAGATCTTCCTCTACAACTCGAAGAATTGGAGACTCGTGATAAAATTGAGACATGTAACTTATTTATTGTCGAGTTGGACTCGATTTTTTTAATATATTCTTAATATTTTATATTTTCTCTCTTTTGATCTCTTTTTTTTTTTTAGAGTTTTCACTCCTCTACCAACACCATGCATAAATAAATCTCATTAGAACCTTATGGTTTCGATGGTAAGTAAAATAATTAAATATTATTCTAATGATAAATGCTTCTCTTTGTTCTTGATCGTTTCAAAACTAATTGTTATTATTGTATTTGAATTTTCAGGACTAGTATATAGAGTCAAAGATCAAGATTTTTTAGCATGTTGCTCGTGATGTCAATTGTTGCTTGTCATAGAGATTTAAGAATTTAATTTTTTTTGTTTGTTTGGACTTTAGATAAACTTTGGATGACTACTATTATAAGCTACAAACTTTTAATATTTGTATTGAATTAAGACTTTCATGCTGGTTTGAATTAGGATTTGAAATTGTGCTTAAATTAAGATTTTGATTTTTTTTATACTTTTTCAATCCATGTAATAAACAAAATTAAAGTAAATTAAAAAAAAAAGGACAACTCGACAACCCAACCCAAAATTTTTTGGTTGGGTTGGGTTGGCTATCAATTTTCAACCCCTGGTTCCCACATATGGCCAATCTGAAAATCCGTGAACACCCCTACTCAACTAAGTAACACTGCCCAACGAGAAAACCTAAGATCAAACATTAATAATACTTGTAGATGGATTGTATGAAACGCCTGGACAATAATTTTAATGATGAATATTTTACTTGGAATGCAAGAGGAAACCCTTTAGGCTGTACCGAATTTGATATTTACCGTTCGAAATGACCATTAACTTGTAGAAAGCAACATTGTCTTTCAGTCATTCCCCAATTTGTATTGTTGCAGTGGTTAAGGTCCTTTACTTCCCCAAATAGATCAGCATTAAAGTTGGATTTCACCTTTTTCTACTCATCATTACAAATTCAGTGTAATATATCAAGGTTAGCTTCACATCGTTGTCGTTGTTAGCAAAGCCAATCTTCTTATATCGAGCTTCAAACTTGTCCAGTTGGATGTCGATCAGATCGTTGAAGTGTTAAATTCGGAACCTTATCTTTGGGACCTTCTTCTGAACCACCGTACCAGATGGCTGCCAAAACCCTGTTATTAATAAGAACTCGATCTCGGAGAACGTCACAATGGTATTGCCAATATTGAAGCTCATTGCATCTTCCATGTTGTCAGCAACCTCCCTAAGTAGAAAGTAATACACCAGAGCACTGCAGACCACGAGATCGAGGTCCACAAAATGGCCAAATATTGTTCTTTTTTTTGAATATATGCAACTGTGTTGGAGTAAACTTCTGTTTGATAAGCTTGTTCACATCGCTGAAATGAGCCAAGCTAGTACTTGACTTGGAAATCGAGCGTCCTCACTTATCTTAGTGGTGGGATCCATTTTAGTCCTGCAATAAACAAACATGGTTTTAGTGTAAAAAAACAAACCAAAATAAAGTAAATAAAATAAGGAAAAATAAAAGGGGGAAAAAGTTACTCTGTTCAATTATAAAGCTCGAATTATGTAACTTT